ACCGGGATTTGAACCAGTGACCTTCTTGCTGAGAGGCATCAGCTCTACCAACTGAGCCACCGTGCCGCCAATTATGTTTTATATAATCCAAATTTCTGCATTTAATGAATAACATATTTGTTTGCTTTTATCATTTTGACTGTACCAAACGTGTAAGTATTTTTATCATTATTTTGTATAATCCAACAGTTTTACACTGAGATTGGTTAAATTTGTGGGTGTTTTCTGTCCATTTATATGTTTGCATGTTTTGCGTTCTCCTGCGTGTAATGACACACGAGTTTTATGGATCAGTGACACATATGTTAGGATCTAAATGAGTTTCTAGGAATTTGACCTAAACTACACTTTCAGGAGAAATACATAAGAATTAGATTATTTTTATGCAGAAATGTACAAAAAAACTATTGTCTCTGTTTTACAGAGACTATATTTGAGACTGTTTTTCAAGTCGTCAAATGACAGTGCTTAAAGAAAATCAACTGTCTCTGTCTGTAGGAAGTATTACTCTCTTGACATTATCGTAAACTTTGCACAAGATTAAGAAGCRACCCTGGAGAAACAAAGACATGACAAGTCTTCATATCGCTGAACACTCGGTTTATCAACAGAGAGGATTTTTTTTCATCACCTGACCCCAAAAAAGATGAAAATCATCAACCTGGGATTCATCTGGGACGTTTGGCTCCACTCTGTAAATGAAACTGTAATTACTTCTCAAACATCCAGAAGACGCTTGCCTCAGCAACACAGAGAGAGTGTATTAAGACGTTTGTGTTGTCGCTGGAGTGTGAGCTCTGATTTCCCCTGATTCTTCTGGCGTTCTCCTCCACATCAGACCCTTTTCAGCTGAAGGCCACTCCACCTCACACAGCAGGACCGGGGATACCGAGTCAAACCAACAGCCAAGTTATTTGGAAATGATCAATCAAATAACGGATTCACAGGTTACAGAAAAAGAAGATATCAGTTTGAAACAACACAGGGTAACACTATTTGAAGGTGTGTGCATAAGACTATCATAACGCTGTCATAAATATGACATAACACCTGTCATGAACGTTAATGAGTCCTCATGAATGTTTATAACTGTTGTCACTTGACATTAACCAAGACAAAAAAATGTCTTGACAAGTTAGAGCACCCATTTATAAGCATTTGTCAGTGTATTGACACTCTTTAAAGACATCTTTATAACTAGAAACCTGTTCCACTTTACTTGAGGTAAGGGAAAATATTAATGACATACATTGGTCTCATGACAGCCACCAAATGATAGTGTAATAAAATGTTAAAGTTGATGCTTGTAGCTTTTATGATTTCTTGGTTAATGTCAAGTTGTCATAACAAAGACATTTTAAACAATGTCAACTTTGCATTAAAAGTGTCATAATTTACCGAATGACAATTAATGACAACAGTTATAAACGTGTGAGGACTCATTTAAGTTCATGACATGTGTTATGTCATATTTATGACAATGCCATGACAGTCTTATGCACACCCCTTCAAATAAAGTGTTATCCAACACAGTTTACCAAAACTATGACATTAATGTGAGGAGTGGACCAACACTCCACAGGCCACAATCAATAAACTGATCAATCAATAAACTGATCAACTCAATGCAAAGGAGATGTGATGCACTACATAAGGTAAATGGTGGTCTGTCTGGTATTAACTCTATCATGGTCCCACCAGATACTGACTGGTTTTCAGACATGTTATCTACAACCATTAAGATATTAATTGCTCAAAAGTTTTTCCCTTTGGTTTGAACTTTTTATTGCTCTTGTTTAACCATCAGTGGGAAAGTGTTTGTGTATGAGAGGTAAAGAAAAARAAACTGCCTGTATATAATGAACTACAAACAAAAGTGAGAATGTGTGAATGGTGCTAGTGGTGTTAAGTGCTTTGACAAATCAATAAAACTGTCCTTTCTACATTTATTCAACCATTCAGTACCTCAAACTGCTTTCAAGCTATATTTATCTTCTGGTACTTTTACATCGCCCACCACTAAAAGAATGACAATGATGTTTTTGCCCCAGTGTGTGTGTCTGTCTATCCYTTTGCAAAAATATCTCATGAACCACCAAARAGATTTTAATAAAACTTACAGAAAGTGATCACTGGATYRGCAACTGATTTACTTTTGATGCCAACATAAGCCAATTGACCTTCAAAAACAATAAAATCACTTTTACAGAACAAATGCTAAAAAAAATAAWTGAGTGGCTACAATTAAAATGAATTTTCTTCACACGTTCTGTGCATTAATATTTTTCAGTTTTTTTTTAAACGTTGCCAGTTGGAGATAACCCTGTCAGCAAAATATCTCATTAACATCTGGACAGATTTTAAAGGAGACATATGCTTTTAAATCCTTCATTTTCACATTCAGTTGGGMTCTATATAACGTGGAACTGCAATGCTTTGGTCTGAATTCCTCCTTATTTTAACTCCACAAGCCCCTTTTTCACCCCTTTACTGAGGTGTGTCTCGAATCAACTCGTTTTGAGGCTGTCTCTTTTAATCCAAATGAGGAGCATCAAACCCCGCCCCCCTCCAGCTTCCAAAGTGGTTCGTTCCAGACGGGTTTACAACAATCAAGTGATGCAGAAACGTTTTTTTATTTACTAATCYATCAAAAGATGTCAACAAGGGAAGATTTGTTCATCCAGTCTTACATGGAGCCAGAGTCTGATGGCTACAACGCCATAATTTCTAAAAAATAAGGTTGTTTTAGTTTAAAAGTTCAAAAAGGCATATAAATAAAATATAAATAAAACTTAAAGACAAAAACTTTTGGCCATGGCTGAAGAGATGACCAGGTCATAATGACCTCACATTGCTACGTTCTAATGATTGGAAACAAGACTAAAAATTTCCCTTGAACGTGGTGCAAGATCCATTAACAAGATCCATTTTTCAGTCTTCTGTTATGATCTGTTTGTGGAGATAAACAGACAAAAATAAATAAATAAAACAACTGAAGCAAAAACAGTTTCACACAATGGCAACTTTAACCTCAATTTACACTTTGGTAAATGGTTCTGTTTGTGACAGCAGAGGTTAATCAAGTGGATCAGCTCCAAAACCAGCCCGAGTTGGTTTCAGATGAATTAGCATTCACCCTGCACAGCCATCCATCGCTCCCAACACAAACCTCATGGAGCTACGTAAGTTGGTTTAAAGAAGGCAAACACGTCAATACATTCAGACTTGGCTATTTAGTCTGTTTATTTGTTTATCTTTCTCGCCTTTTTGTAAGCATATTTGTTTTCATCCCTGRGGAAATTTGCTTCGGCCGTCTGCCATCTGCTTTCTGCTTTTGGGTTCATTCTGGTCTTTCGCTTGAAAATGAGGAATTGGACGAAGAAACCTACCTGAGGTTTCAGTGATGCAGATCAGGGCCTGAAAACAGGTCAACTTTTTTGTGTTTCAGGGTAATTTGCTGTTGTTGTTTTGTGTTTCGGGCCAGATATCTGGGAGGCAAACCGTGCTGCCGCTCTGTTTGTGCTCCTGCCAGCACTGACCAAACTATCTGGCAACCACGCCTGACTGGGGCTCTAATGAGGGGACTGGAGAGATCTGACGTCTTGGCAGAAACTAGCGAGTCAGACACAAAGCGGACATGATCTCATAGATTCACTTAGAAGAATGAATAATTGCACCATTTAACAGCAGCTAACATGCGTCTCTGAAAGAAATCCAAACAAACTGTGTCAATGTGACCTAAAGTTGTTTGCCCAAATCAAGTTAAAGGTTTTAGTTTTTAGATTATGAAAGATGTTCTCCAGTCACCTGGTATATTTTACACTGAAATTGCATAAAGGCAAACTTTCAAAAGTATTGTTCTTTTTCCTCAACGATGAAAGAGGCTGATTTTGCTCCACAAGAC